GATAACTAAATAAATAAAATATTTAAATTAAAGTAAGTTAAAATCAAATTGTTAGCTAATTAATTACTATACTGATATACTAAGGTGTACTGACTAGTTGAATGAATTAAAGAAACTATTTCATTAATTAGCAATTTGTAATTTATTAATACCAGTAATCAACTTACTAATAATAGTTATTGAATGCAGTATTCGAGGCAATTGAATAAATAATTATTATAAATTTTCAATTAATTGTTAAGAATAAATTGGAATAAACTCATTAATACTTGATTGAATCATTGACTAACATAATACACTTGCGATTTTAGTCCTGATTAATTATAACTCATAAATATATACGCAGGGAGTCTGAGGATCAAAAAATAAAAGAGCTTTAAACAAGCAATTGCACCAAAGGGCAGGGGAAAGGACCTCTATGCATTAGACCCTGCTGTGTTGACAACAGAGCTCTAAGCCAAAGCAATAGTTCTGCTTAACAAGTCCTAGCCCAGATCAACAATGACAGCAAGGAAGGCTCAAGGCACCAGAAAGCGGAAGTAGCCCACCAAGAAAAGGCCGGGACCTTAGGTGCCCCACCCCCAATTGTCTTCTGACGAGGAATGCTGGTCAGTATGGCAGGAGTTGCAGGAAAAAATTTCTGCATTAGAGGATCAAAGGTTGGCAAAGCAGCCTCCCCAGCTGAGTGAGGTGTTACCACGCAGATCGCCCAGGGAGATTAAAAGCCACAGGAAGACTAAACTAAGGGCTATGGCATAGGAACTAATGGATAAGGTTTTCTGCTCTAGAGTCTACTCAGGTTCTGGAGGGTCCAGCTAGGTGCAAGGCTGACCAGGTGTCAGTGACACCAAGGGCGCAGAGCATGGAAAAGCGATGGTCTTCAACCTCTGGGGTATCTGAACTATCATCTATGTACCAAGGGGGACAAGATGAGATGGAGGAGGCTAGCTTTGCCATGCCACATCTGCTTCAAGAATCTGTTTTGGAAGAATGGATGAGGACCTATCCTCGCAAGAAGGATGGTAGGTATTTGTTAGATGGCTTTAGATGCGGGTGCTCCTATGCCAGGTTGAGTATGAAAGAGCCTTATTCAATGCAGCTTCCCTAATAGCCTTTTTCGATGCCCTCCAAATTAGTGAACTGGTAGCTGGGGGTAAGGCTGACAAATCTAAGTTAGCTCTACAATGGCAGGACATTAAATTCCTAGACGGAATAGTAGAACTCTCAATTAGATGATCCAAAGTCAATCAAACAGGTAAGGGAAAGCATCTGGTCCTTGGGCAATGCAGCATAGAGAGCATATGCCCAGTCAGAAACACAAGGGCATACTTAGAATGGCGAGGACAAGAGGCAGGATATTTCTTTCAACATGCTGATAAGTCACCTTTGACTAAATATCAGTTCTGGAAGTTGACAGACTTAGCCTTAAATAAGGTTGGTCTTACGGGTATAAAATTTGGCACCCATTCATTTAGGATCGGAGCGGAATCCGCTGCAGCAGCTGTGGGTTACAGCCCAGAGGAAATCAAACATTTAGGCCGGTGGTCATCTTCAAGTTATAAAAGATACATTAGGACCCTACCTAACATGTAGGCAGGGGCATGTTTATGTCTTTACAGGTCCCCTTGGGTCCGGAAGATGAAAGCAGATAGTGATTGTCAGTCATAGTTATATCCACTGGGCAGAACGTTATGCTGCTGCATCCCTGTGGGGGAGCGATCTGGGGCTCAGAGCCTAAGCGCACATTACCTGGAAAGGGTTGCGAGGTATGCGGTGGATCCATCTGTGCAGGATAACGGCATTTGGTCAGTTCCCACCAGACATGCTGGTAATACATTTTGGAGGCAATAACTTGCCTAGACTGTCTGGTAAGGCATTGATCCTGGACATTCTGTGTGACCTTAAGTGGTTGAATGCCAGCTATCGTGCAATGCGGTTCATATGGTCCACAATTATTCCTTGGTTAGCCTGGTGAGGTTCTGGGAGGCTTTGTGATGCTAACAAGGCCTGGCAGGGCATTAACAGAGAAGTATGCAGAGGTGTCTGCAGTAGCCTTGGATCGGTGATAGGTCACCACAGGATCCAAGTAGAGAAGCCTGAGTTTTTCAGGAGCGACATTGTCCACCTTTCAGATGTAGGGCTGGAGGTCTTTTTAGAAGACATCAAAGGGGGCCTGCTTGTTGAGCTTGAAAGACTCAGTGGTGGGCATGGGGCATAGCATGGCTAGACCCCATGCGGTGTCGGGTAGTGCAGAAAAAACAGGTATTTTTGGTATGTCCCACTGTAATTCCAGGTAAGCCAACTGCGCATCCGACCTCCCAGCACTGTGGATCGTGAGATTACGGTGCCTGTGGCGGGAAGATGCACTGGGCCATTTCCAGACCAACAGTCATCAACTAAAGATGGCTTGAGGTCTGGGGGTGTTTATTAGCAGCTGGCCAGGTTCCTGCTGTCTTTAGACCACTGCAACCTGGGGCCGGGGGCTCACCCATTTGTTTTTCAAGACGTATTTGGATACCACTGACATTTACCTGTTTCCATGCTACAGCAGGCCCCACGCTACAGCAGGATGGCAAACTTGAATCTGGATTTATTGCAATAAAGTGTGGCCTGTATTTTACCCATATCATTGTCTCTCGTCTGGGAGAGCAAAGGTGTGATTGCTTTGAACTGATGCCAAAAGGGCGGATGAGATGGACATGCATGGACATGCATGCCCTCACCTCATGCCCGCATGAGCATACGCGGGCAGTACCAGCACACACAGCCAAACCTTTCTCCAGGTCTCTTCTCTCTCTTTCTCTCTCTCTCTCTCCCCCCCTCCTCTTTTTTATGATTCTCCTCAGGGGCAACACTCCTGTTTATTTTATTTTATTTAACAGCGTAATTAGCAAAGCTTCAAGTGGGAAACTGACAGGAAAAAGCTTGTCTCATTGCCTAAGGCAATTATTTGAGTAGCTCCACCTGCAGGGCTGTAAGAACTGTAAGCAGTTCAATTTAAATGTGGCCACTTAAATCGAACAGACTCAAATTCCTTGGTGTAACTTTACAGCCGGTGAATGCGAATGAATTCGTATTTCCCTAAGTGTGTACTCACACACTTAATCAAAACTCCTTATGAAGCCATTCAGGTTGATTCTTTCATCATCTGTCTGAAGAAGAGCATATTGCTAGTGAGATGTCAGTACTTGTCACTACCTGCCTCACCCCCCCCCACTCATCCCCAGGAGAAGCTAAACAGTGTCTGTCTTGCAGATCTCAAACTTTAATGGTTAAAATCGATGTTCTGAATTCTGCCTAAAAGAAACTGTAAGGCTTATGTAGCCTCATACGCCTGTGTGGGTGTGTCTGTTTGTAGTCTTGGACATATGCACTGTATTGCTGTATTACCATTTGCAAATGTGTGTTCGTGTGTGCATGTGCTTTTGTGTAAACAGCAATTGTACCATATACATAATAATAACTATTATGAATCATAAGTGTATGAACAGATGGAATCAGTGTTTTGGCAAACATATTGCAATCCTAACATGGCTGCTGGCCAAACCCAAGCATAATGTTCCAAGAAGAGCATAGCAATTTGAAATTTCCCTGCTCAGTCGATCATCCCATGCCAAAAGGGCAAATCTTTTTCCCGATTCAAACTGGCCAAAGTTATGTCTCTGATTAGAAAAGCTGATTATAATTATTATTATTACCACATTTGGTTTGGACCCTCAATTATTCTGCCAGCTGATACTATGCATGTTTAGGAGGCTGGGGCACTGCAAGCTCTTTTACTAAGGAGCCAATTGTGTATTATGGGAAATGGGTATTTCCTGCTATTACCATGTTTTCCTTCCAAGCACACAATTCGTTCAAAGTTTTGTACCTGAGCAATCAGACTTCCATATAAAGCCCATGTTTAGTTCCTGATCATGAATTGCAAAGTAAAAGCAGACTAATTTGCAATATGCAGAATGAGGCAAGCTCATGCTGAAATAAATCTCTTAAGAGACTGTCTTCCCAGGAAATGTTCATTGTTGCATAGATTTCTTTTGCGTTTTAACTGGCAGAAGTCTTAGCTTTTTGTTTTGTACACACATCCCCGTTCTACAGTATAGCTCAGTTTGGAAAAGTCTGAGGGTGCCATAATGACAAAACTCCATTTGAAGTCTCATACTTAAGGAGGTTTCAGTTCTGGAAAGAAATTTCAAATCTGTCACAAATGGGAAGATAATTTCACTGGAGATGCCCTTACATTTTAAAACAAAAAGTGTTTTGTACAAATCGAAGTTTACCCACCCTTGCCAAACAATTAGACAAAAGGAGTGAGGTCAAGAAAAACCAGTGGGAACAAGCTTCTTGTGTGCTGATACTGAGATAGGAATAGAGATTCATGGATGACCAGGATGAGGTAGGAAACTTTTCCTCAAAAAGACCATTAACATATTACTAAATTGGTCAGAAATCAGTAACCATGCGTTCTGGATTACTTTTCCATCTTTGTGATTTACTGTGCAGTGTTTCAGGCGGTAACTTGCCAGTGGTGCCTCGCTTAACGACATTAATTCATTCCAGTGAAATCGCTGTAGAGCGAAAACATCGTAAAGCAAAATAAAAAAGCCCACTGAAATGCATTGAAAACCCCTCAATGCATTCCAATGGGCTGAAAACTCACTGTCCAGTGAAGATCCTCCATAGGGGCGGCCATTTTCTCTCCCTGTAAAGTGAGGAATTTGTCCAAAAACACAGCGGGGAGCCATTTTAAGCAGCCGGTGGCCATTTTGAAACCCGATGATCAGCTGTTTTTGATCATCGTAAAGCGAAAATTGGTTCTCGGAGCAGGGAACCGATCATCGTTAAACAAAAAACCCATTTAAAACATTGTTTTGCGATCGAAAAAACCTAATCTTCAAGTGGTGCCTAAGCGAGGCACCACTGTACTTGGCTTGGACTGTCCTACCATAAGGCCAAGTGAAACAACTGGCCCGGGGAGCAGATTCTGGATGTTAGGAAATGGGCAGCAAACCATTAGTGACTTAAATCTGTTGTTATTGCATTTTTGCTGCCAAGAATGGGGGAAAGTGCTTGGGTTTTTGTTTGCTTTGATTTTGCACTTTGACTCCTAAGTGGGGTACCATTTGCTGTTCTTCCTCAAGGGGCAAAATATCTTAGGCATGACCTGTACACGTCTTTGGTGACTTCCCATCAGCTATGTGACTTGCAGAACTTTTCCCATCACTGTCTTTTGAGCTGTGGAAAGAATAGGAATCATATAGGGCTTTAGAAAAGACTAACCACCCTAATTATATAGGTAAGATCAGATCCCCAAATCAAACCAACATTTCCTCAGCTGCCATCTGAACAGGACTAATCTTCCACTTTTGTCTAGACAAGATTTAAGCAGGGCTTGAAAATGATGTTTTGGGGGGAAGTGCTAGAGTTCACAACCAGCATGGCCCCTGGACAGGGGATTCTCAGAATTGTAGTCTAAAAAGGAACCCTTTCTAAGCTGTGGGTCTTAGTGCTTGGTGCTTTGGGTCTGTGCAATGACACGAGCTAAAAAATAAGCAAGGTGATTTCCTTTCTGATCTCTAAATTGACAGAGTTGTTAATCAGATCTTGGCATTCCCACTAGAGGTGCAAACTGCAATTCTGATGTTTGGAATTACCTCTCGCTTTGCCATCCTGAACCTGGGCACCCTTTGAAGTGCAAACAAATCTGACTTGCAAGGGAGAGGTGAAGCTGCTTTGGGCCTCTCCACAACAGGCAAGCATTCGTGCATGAAAATGCCTGAAAGGGGAAAGAGAGTAATAATCCCCTCCAGGCTAGACGCTTCAGTCTTTTATTCTAGGCTGCTGTGAAATCCCAACCCACCCCAACTCCAGACTTTTTATGAACCTTGTGGAAGAGCCTCTTTGAACCATGAGGGAGGCCAAGGTCAGGCTGTCTCTGCTGAAAGCAAAATAAGGCATAGTAGTAAGAAGGAGCTAATGCTGGAAAGAGAAAGCCAAGAAGACAGAGATGCTGGATTGCCAAGGAAGCACAGTGGCAGACCTGGCAATTAGAGGCGGAAAACACACTGGGTTTTCTCTTGGTCTTCCTCTACTGCAGCCTGCAGTCTATGCCTAACATGGGAAAAGTCTGTTGTAGTCTCTCTGTTCTGGTAAACAGGAGGACCTCAGCTCTCCAACAGGAGTGGGGCCTTCAAATGTGGTTTAGGAATAAGAAAAATGGGTAGTCTCATGAGCAGAGTGCTTTTCTCCCACCATGAACCTGGTTTTCTACAATTCATCTAGGATTAGAGCAAAGGGCTTTCAGTGGAAAGATGCATCTTCAGCACAGCCCCAAGTGCCAGCAGCTCACTTTCTGAAGCAAAGCTGAGCAGCTTGTATCTTTCTTGTAGCTTCCATCAACCTTACTTGAATGCCCATAAATTAAGGTATGCCAACGTTATGCAAATCTGTGGCCACTTCTGGCTTCATTTGGGGATATTTCCTCCCTTTTGGCAGAATATATGTAGCTGCCCTCAGTGGTATGTGTATATAGAGAACTTGTTTACTGTTCTCATGAGCCACTTTGATTCTAATTGGGAAAAACAGCATACAACGAAACATGGTGATGATAATCTACTGAAAACCATTCCTAGGGCTAAACTCAGGCTCATACTACCTAATGAAAGTCTCTGTACTACTAGATCTTTTACAGTTTACTCACAGAGGCAACACTGTACTCTGGTCTCCATTTTAAGAAAGGAGAATGGATGTTCATAATGCTCAGGATTGCTGCCAAAGGGCATAAGAAAAAGCGCATGTGAGGGAGCAGAAAATGACACTCATAGTCTCTTTGAAAAAGAGCGGTGCTGCCAACATACTAAGATTGCTCCTGTTCCTTCTGTTCAGGTAACAGAATGCAAATTGTAGCCCTGGTGGGTGTAATAACCGCCTTCACTTTGGCTCTGCCTGTTCTGCCTAAGAAAGATGGAAAGATGAAGAAAGAGAAGCACAACATTGGCCTGATCGCTGATGACAACCAAGACCTCAACAACCACGAGCTCAACCTGGACAATTACGGAGAAGTCATTGATCTTAGTAATTATGAGGAGATCTATAATTATGGGGACCTGGCATCAAAGGTATATTGTGCATTGAAGCTATGTGTATTTATTCCCAGTGGCCAAAAGAATTCCTCAAAAGGGTGGGGTCTATTTCTTCACAAAACAATTAGTCCTGCAGAAAAATCACAACTTTCTGTACACTTCTGGGTCCTTTCCATTCCCTGCATATATATGCCAGCTGCTGGCTTCTATAAATGTAAGCATCCTCAATATTCATACTGTTCTCTTCCTTTTTTTACATCCCACAAATTTTTGCAAAAATATCCCCAGTACTTTGGAAGTTAAACTCTTTGGGGGCATATGATAATATACACAGTCTCATAAAATGTTTTCTGTGTGTAGAAACTGGATTACTTTGGATTACCTGGAATCAGAATTTGAGGTGTACAGTACATGGAGCCTTGTGGGAACAAAGATACAGAGGTACCTCAGTTTACGAACGTATCAGTAACATAATTTTTGGTTTGTGAATGAAAATCCATTGAAAATAATGCCTCAGTTTATGAATATTTTCACAATATGAAGCAAGTTTCCTCAGAATGCATTGCGCTTGGGAGGTTTATAGCGCTACCCCCGTGCATGTGTTCCTATGGGAAACCACGTTTTGATTTGCGAATTTTTCACAATATGAAACCTCCCTGAGAAAACAAATTCATAAACAGAGGTTCCACTGTATAGCTAGCTCTTGATTAGAGGTGAAATCATACTCATATTGTGGAGAGGTAATTAGGTAATCTTTGGAGACTTGAGAAATCAGACTGAAAAGGAATTCCATGCTTAAGTTCTAAAGATCAATAACCAAACAATGTAAGCTAATTTGAGTGCTCCTAGTAGTCAGATAAGCTTTTGTTGTGGCACCCAGGAATCATCCAGATAGAGCATTTTCCCCATATATCTGCCTGGCAGTACTCTGATTATACCTTTATTTTTCCTAACATTCAGAGAATGTGAGGCTGAAATCATTACCAATAATGATAAAGAGTAAAAAAAAATCATAATGTTCTCTTTGAATAATGGACCACCTCCTGAAGGATAGTGTATGTGTGGGTGTTTGTTTCACTGTGTGCCAAGGGTAGGGTAGAAACAGCAAGACATTCTTGGGTCAGAAGTGTTCAATTCAGTGCTAATCTACCAAAATAAAATCAAGCTCCTACCAAAATCCAGCAGATAAGATCATTTTAAAAGGGATTCCTCAATTCTTTTGAAAGAATTTTAGTGAAAGATTTCTGATTTCCAAAGTGGATTAGTAATGGATCTGCACTGCAAAAGGCTCCAATCAGAAGGTTTCAATGATAGGAATAAATAGATTAAAAAATCCAACACAGATCATTTTTAAAGTATTTCTTCAAGCATTCTGAAATATTTTAGACAATTGGCTTAAAGATGCTAATTTCTTAATGAAAACCAAAGTGAGGTTTTGGGAATAAATTTGGATGGAAACCACAGTAATAGCCATGTTCTTTCAGCACCAAGCAACATCAACTGGCAGAAGGGGAGATAATGCTGCATCTGGATGATGCTTGTATTAGTAAAGGACTTTCCTTTTTATCACTGGCTGTTTCCAAGGTCTGTTTCCAACCATAGAATCAGACTTGATTTTTTCATGCAAGGAATTTATCAGTGAGGAATGGCTATCTGACATCTTCAATCATCCTGATCAGACATGCACATTTCTTCCACCATCACCCCAGTCAGAAAATGCTTCCTTCTGGTGCACTTGTTTTGTTGCTTGCAATGGATCTTACACTCTATTACTCTTAAGTGCCTTGCTAAACTGTTTCTCCCTCAGTTTCCACTGGGGAAGCAGACTTTTAAAGTTTCAGGCAGTTATGCTGGAGTGAGTACGAGGCACATGCCATATATCTCCCACCTCAATTATGATACCTCAAGGTGGTAGATATGACTCTCCCTTTCACCACTGTTTTCCTCACCACAACCCTGTGGTTGTTCACAAATTGGAGTTTACATTTCTTTTTTCTACCATAGCTACTGGCCAAGCTAGATGCAGGGGAGGGGGTTCTAAGAGTTATAGTCCAATAAAGTAATAATTCCATGCACTGGTCAGGCTAAGAGTTCATGACTGGCCCAGGCTCATCCAATGCATTTCATGGGTACTTGAACATGGAGTTCCCAGGCCTCACTCTAACGTTCAAACCACACCGCCACAATAATTGTCTGGTTTTAATTTTTCCTACATCTGCACTAAATAGAGATTCAAGAAAGAACAATATTTGTTTGGCTTCAGTAGGGAAGGACTACTGTGGCCTTGTATGCCACAGTCCCAGTCTAGATCACACAGAGATACACATGAACTTGGCAGCAATTTCTGTTTAAAACAATTCGAGTTAAATGTATTTAATTAGTTTCTTTATTCTTCCTGCCTGCTTGTATTTGTATCATTACCTGGGATATACTAGAGTACTTTACCCTTGAAGATGGCTAGAAGCTTGATCCTGGTTCCTGGGCCAAAATTACTCTGTTAGGCAAGGCCAGCCATTCAGCTAGTGGAGGCTCAGGTGATTCTTCTCCTCCTTCCCTAGAAAGCCTCAGCCCCATAAAAAGGGAAGAGAAAAGGAGAGTGAATGAGCTGCAGCACAATTTCACACCACCTTCCTGACAGAGTAGCAGTAGTACAGGTATACACCAGGGGGTGATAACCAAAAGATCTTCCCTGAGATTATGAAGACACCAAGCACCAGAGTAGTGTTGATAGCAGATGTTGTATTATTTACAGAATATACAGGTATATTTACAGCTAAGTCTTTGTTCTCAGTTCCAAAGTAATGCACAACAGTTTCCACAGAGTTTAGTGCATATATCAGAGTCAATGTCCAGTAAATAAGTTCAGTAGTCATATACCATACATTCCTTCCAAATAGCCAGAGTTCCTCTTCAATACCAAGCACATAGACACGGCTTCCTCCAGGATTCTCCAGCATAGGAACACAATGACTCTTCTCCATGAACACACCAATCAGCATCAACAACCCACAGATTGTGTGTGCTTGCTCTGCTAGTTTTATCCCATGGTTGACCAATCCTAGGATTACATTCACAGCTGTTCCCATTACCTCAGCTGTGTACATTCAAGCTTTGCTTCACTTTTACAATACTGATCCTGACAATACTTATTGTCATGTTACAAACTTTATTTAAAAATTCTATCAGGTTTAGCCCAAACCTGTCACTTCCCCTTTATTAAAGTAGGGGAAGGCTCCATGAAGTCAACCCAGGGGTAAGGGTCACCCTAGACAGTGAATATATCAAGCTGTTTTGAAGAGGTGCATGTTCAAAGTGGCAAAAGACATCTGTTTGTCATAACATGTGCTTTCTATCACTCCTGTATTTTGCATTCCAGCATTCTTTGTTTTGTGAATGGTCACTGGAAGGTAAACACTGGCTTATTTTCAGATGTTAATTGTGAAGGCATGCATCTCTGAGCAAAATATGTTGGTGGAAAGGAAAACTGGCAAATCACAAGGAATGTACATTCCCTTGAATATATTTTGACTCTCAGAGACTGCCTTGAGGACAACTGCTTGAGGTCATGGCTGAGTCAACTTTGGTTCTTCCACAACTCTTCCAATCACAGAAGGCATTTGAGGAGTGAAGCCAGTTTGATAATCTGTCGACAACTAGAGGAAGGACCACTAGAATTCCTGTGGTCAATGATCATATTTTTTTTACATTATTCACCTCTGGATAGTTGAAGTACTTGAGCATAGAAAAAGTTATGAGTCAGGCATCAGAAGGCGAAGTCAGAGCTAAATAAATAAATAAAGTTGGGAAATTCTGTCCTGGGTGATTCTGTATGAGTCAGTGCAGCAGTACATCAGTATGTACAATGGGAGTATTGCTGCTAATGCTAAGCATCATAACTGGAGATATGACCCTTACTTTGTTTACAGATTGAGGTTGGCACATTGGCCCCTCACATCGTGAGCGTGGCAGAATCTGTGAGCACAACAACAGAGGTTCCAATAACAGAGGTCCCCCAAAAGAGTCCGACAAACTCCATCCTAGCCACACCAGAGGGACCAGATCTTTTTCCTTCCATAACAAATGAGGGTGAGTAAATTAGCAATTTCGTTTTGGACTGTCTCGTTATAGGGTTTTCTTGGTAAGAAAGTTCAGCAGTGCTTTACCATTTCCACCTTCTGCATAGTCCTAACCAAAAAAATAATAACAAGTATTATCATCATTGCCTCCTCCACCAGTGCCACCTTCAGCTGCCACTGCTGCCCACCAGCCGCCATCCCCATTGGAACGAACCATTCTCTTCTGCAGATGCAGTCGTTGCCCTTGAAGAGGGTGGAGGCATCTTAGGTGACCAGCAGTGATCATATTGCCTTGGGCGACCCTGCCAGGAGACCTCTGAGCTAGAGACAACAAAAGCATCATTTTTCATCTGACTGTGGTCATATCTTTTGCAGAGAGGGGAACAATGGAGATAATTGCCCAATGTCTCATGTATGAAAGAAACTGAATCAGCACTAAACGATAATGTATTACAACTGAAAAGGGAAAGGAAGCCTTCTGCCCCGGTGCTGACATCACTCTGGGCTTTCCCAGCACCCACGGAGGCCCTGTAATGGTCTAGAAGTGCCGCTCATCTTTGGACCCCTTTACCATGCCAGTAGTGGTAAACAGGGTGGCAATCTGCAGGCAGTGGGACAGTCTTCCCTTATTTGTTCAAGCTTATGTGGCAGCAGCGTTCTTCTCTAATGTGCCGGCCACCTTTTCTGGGTACGTCCATGTATATATGAGTGGAGATGCATAGGCTGGTGGCTACAGTAGTGCTGCCTCCCAGGACCCCCCATTGTGGCAGATATTGACAAGGAATTTGAGGCATCATGTCAGCTCCAGAAAATGCCTTGGTGGAACCTGCTGGGGCATCTGGGCCCTACAAATTCCCAGTGCTCATGGTGCTGGTCTGATCTCCTTCCAGGTTTACCTTTTTCCTTGGATGACCACGTATGTATCACACTGTCAGAAAATGGAAATGCATTCTTCCCCCAAAATGTGGAGAAGGGGGGATATCAAATTTCATTTAAAAATATAGATGAATACCTGTGGATTCAGATTTAGAATTAGGTAAAGGTAAAGGTTCCCCTTGACAATTTTTTCCCAGTCATGTTCGACTCTAGGGGGTGGTACTCATCGCCATTTCCAAGCCATAGAGCCAGCATTTGTCCAAAGACACAATCTTCCGTGGTCACGTGGCCAGTGTGACTTAGACACGGAATGCTGTTACCTTCCCACCGAGGTGGTCCCTATTTTATCTACTCACATTTTGCATGCTTTCGAACCACTAGGTTGGCAGGAGCTGGGACAAGTGATGGGCGCTCACTCCGTCACGTGGATTCGATCTTACAGCTGAAGATCTACAGACCTTACAGCAGAGAGGCTTCTGCAGTTTAACCCACAGCGCCACCACTTCCCTTAAGATTTAGAATTAGTGCAATTTAGATAGAAATACAGTGCATCTCACCATAGCTGCCCCAGGGCCTATGGGCCTGCTCAGCCTACTGTCTGGGTGCAAACTGTGGACAGGCAACCTCAAGTGTATATACCTGCTCTTTCAATTCCTTATGGTTCTTCACCTAAAGTGGACTCAGACTGGAGTATCCTTCAAATACAGGACCGTCCTCTGTGAAGCAAGAAACATGGCTGCTTCATGAGTGTATCAAGTGAGGCCTTGTTTTAATGAGGTGAATGCATCCATGAGAGCCTTTCTACTAATGGTGCTTACTCTTTAGAAATCCCTCCATTGAAAAATATGGCCGGCTCCACTAAGTGTACTTCCTTCACCATGAAATAAAAACTTTTTAAAAAAATTGGTATTGTTAATGATAATGAAGTACAGTATGTTTCTTTCTTTCTTCCTTTTTAATGCTGCCTGGTTTGTTTTTATATTGAAATTATGCTTCTGTGTTCTTTTAAAATACCATGTTATTGAGGTACTGGGAATATTTTAATTGATGGGAAAGCTGCCTCTTATTTTTCCTTTTTAAATAAACAAACACATTCATTGTTGGATGTTTTAGAAACACACTGGATTCTTCCCATTCCCCATGAACCAGATGGAAAGCAGCAGAAATCTGCTCTCCTTGTGAAGAAAACAAAAAATGCATGACCTTCTTCCTGTTTTAGACATGAGAGGAGCTTTGAGGAAATAGCTGCTTGGGAATAAACAAAAACGCCGGCAGAGCACCAACACTTTAATGAGCAGAAATGTAGCAGCAATCGGACAGAGTAGCAATTAGATTAGTGACAATTAAAATCCTGTAGCGAGGGATAAATATCTTTATTTATTTTCTGTCACTGTGAACTGGGACAAATTAAGTAGTAGGCTGAGAGAAATTATTGCCTTTCTGTTTTGAAGTCTAACACTAATGGATCTGGAGTCTGTTTAATCCTCTGAAAAAGGATTTATATGTATGGATACGTGTGTGTTTTGTCTTTGCGTTTTTTCATTTTAAAATTCCCCAAGCATTTTTAATTAGTGCCCAGAACCCTGTCATCTTGCCACCATCACTTTGACCTTGCAATGGGCTTTTGGCTCCAGATAGAGCACCAAGAATTGCTCAGAGCAGAAGCAATTCTATTTCCTTTGGTTTTGTCCCTCTGAGCATGATAGGCCAGACCTAGGCCCTGACGTAATGCCAGCAGCTGAATCAGCATTGTCCCCTCTGGATAGAACTGGGCATCGCTGAGGATGACTCATTTTAAAGCTGATGAGTAGTTTGCCATCTCCCTCTTGATGGTGATCTACATATTTCTCATTTTAGATTTTTAGACTGTAATGTTGTACAATAGCTTTCCACTGCTTGGTGGCCTCAAGATGTTTTGGATTCCTGCAGTCATCAGCCAGAAGCTAAGGGCCAAGCATGCCTAGAACTTTGGCCCAGATCATATGGGGGCCACCAAATTAGAAAAGTTGTGAAACACACCTGCTGCAGAATGAACCTCACTGCTGGATAGCAGTTGTGGTGTTGTAGTGTTGCAATATGTGTTAACTGTTTGTACTGCAGTAAGACCTCCATAACAATGGGGGATTGGTTCCAAGCCCCCTCACAGATGCTGAATCAATGGGGGATTGGTTCCAAGCCAACTCACAGATGCAGAAAAAGGAAGATTATAGTAAATACTATTTTAATAGTGAATATATAGCATGGTCTCCGGCTCCATCAATTTTAAGGAAGATTATAGTAAACACTATTTTAATAGTGAATACATAGCATGGTCTCCGGCTCCATCAATTTTAGCAATTTCACCTTTAGAAATTTATATATACCTAGATATTTGTTAATATTTTCAGACAGTGAATTAGTGAATCAGTGGGTACTGATCCACAGACATGGGAGTCCTACTCTACAAGTGCCAGGTCCCCCAGGCAGTTTGGCCATTGGCTCAGAGGATTCTGGGCGTTGGTGGCAATCTTTCAGTTTTCCAAGATTTTTCATATCATGGAGCCTTGTATCATGGATGTGCTTGCTGTAGCCTTCACATGACAAGCAAAACAAACAAAAAATAAAAATATTTTAAGTTTATTTAGATTTAAACAACAACATTTATGCAATATTAATAATACAACATAATAAAACAACTTGAGCCCATAAAGAATTAGTAGGGGAAGCTGTTCTAGTTGTGAGATCCATAATTTGCACAATTTTTAGAGCCTATACAGGGTGTTCTTAATGTCTCCCCCTGTGCTAGGTTCATGTTATGTGACATAGGCTATTTTGTCTCCAGGTCTTCCTACCTGCTTGATCTGTGTGTGCATCAGCACCTCAGTGTACTGTGATGATACCAATTTAGAAAGTATTCCTCCTTTGCCCTTGGAGACCACATACTTCTACGCTTGTTTCAACCGGATCACTAGGATTGGAGCCAATGATTTCTCTGGACTTGGTGAGCTCCGCCACTTAAGATGCATGACCATATAGAAATTTGTGCAAGATTGATGTGAACATTTTTATACCCAGGCATTTAAATTGCTGCTGCAATTCAAACAGAAATGTTTAATTATCCAAAGAAGATGGATTTGAAGTGTCCCCACATCACACAGAGCCCCTTCTCCTTCACCATCCGTTGACATTATTGCCACCCTCTTATACACTTCTTTGACTGTTACTCAGACCTCCCTTTAAAAAAAAAACTTTAATATTTACCAGGTGAAATAGTGCTGAACTGACAAGACATGGTAAGCATTTGAATTAGTGCTATGGCCATAGCACTAAACTAGGAGAAAAAACATTTTAAGGAATACAGTTTACAAATGGCATTGCAGTTGTAGTACTTACCAATGCAAACAGAAGGTAGGCAAAAGAAGTAGAGTTTGCGTGCACACCACATACTACTCTGTGCATCAGTTATGCCATCTGGACATGCTCAACAGCAGCCCTAGATGACTGATGTTGACAATTATACAAACAAGAAGGATGATAACATAATGTGAGTGGAAATGCTACAAACAACAACAAGCCTGACTGGTCAAATAAAATGTACTGCATAATCATGCCAAAAGATGGCATCTACTTGTGATTAATAATAACTTCATATAGTTGATGGGCGAAATATCAAATGCAGTGCAAACAGCAGGACAAATACTCACATAGTTGTTCTCAGTGTTATTCACCGCCCCTCCCTACCACTATTACTAGAAAGAGTGCCTGTGCACCATTCTCTCTTACTGACAATGGGAAATGCATTCACCACACATTTATTTCACTCAGAAATATCTAATTATTAAAGTCTTTTTTCAGACTAGATCTTATTTCATAATTTGCATTCTGTGTTTTACTGGAAGGAGACTGTGTCTTATAGTGTATGCAGAGCCTTCCAGATTTTGGGCCATGTACATGACCGAATTAGACCCCGTTTTATGACCGTTTTATGGTGTGCAATGGGAAAATGGCAGAAGGATCCAGCTTTGTGGATGCCACACCAAATTCAGCAACAAATTTGATGGAATGGCAAAATCTGGATCCAGTACATGTGATGGATGCACATGAGAGCTGGCATATCCCAGGCTGGACTCTAATAGGCCTTCTCCATTGTTGCCACATACCAAATGACTATGTGTCTCAGGATGGTAGAGAATGTAAATGGAATGAACCTATATGGACTCAGCTGTAGTGTAATTGCTTTACTATGCATCTCACTTGGGACCTAGTTGACATTGAATGTGCACCTCCAAGAAATGTCTAGATGTGGAATCTGCAGGGTGTGACAACTATGGGCTGGATTACAAGTGAAATAAAGAAAATATGGGGTCTTTGTACAAAGTCCAAAACAAAGACAAAAGGTGCCTCTTCTGCATCACTAAAACGTTAAACACAGGCATGCTTTGGTGTTCAGCAGGACCCTTCTTTGGGCTGGGCTCTACAGAAGTTGCCTCTAGTAGTAGGCAAGTAAGGCAGTATCTTCTTTATTTGTGGTCTCATTTAAAATAGGAAATGAATAACTTCTGAATGCAATACTTGTTTTCACTAATCAATACTGCAAGCACAGGTGTGAATTTCTTCCCAAATTTTTTCTCAGCAAAACTAAAACACATTGACCTGACAAGCAACTTTATGTCTTCAGTGGATGAAGATTCCTTCCGGCTGCTGCCCTCTTTAGAAGAACTGGTCCTCCCAGAAAACAAGTTGATTTCCTTGCCAGAGTTGCCCGGCACCATAGTGCAGTTGGATGTCAGGTTTAACACGATCCAGAGTGCAGGTATTCAACCTGAAGCCTTCAAGGTGAGCATCTCTGAAGTGGTTCAAGCCTACTTTAAGGCCCTATCCATGAACTATTGCTCTCCTTTGATTGACTGATCTTGTGCTAATAATGTATGGATACTGGGAACCAATGTGGCATACTGGTTAGAATGTTGGTTTGGGAAATCTAGATTATAATCCTCTAAACCAGGAAAATCACTGAGTGATGCTGGATTGGAAACCCTCTCTCACAGGGTTGTTGTGAGAATGAAATGAGAAGGACAAGTGCAGTGTACTTGCTTTGAGCTCATTGGAGGAAAAGTGGTATATACATTACAAACACAAGCAAAATGTTTCACATGATGTGGATACTTCTAGCACCAGTGTCAAGAGTCCAGTGGAGGAAGGAATGGTATGTGAGAAGTACAGTGGTGCCTTGACTTACAAATGCCCCTACCTACAAACATTTCAACTTACGAACAGCTCCAGTTGCAAAATCTTGCTCTGACTTGCAACCGGAGCTTCCACTTACAAACACAAAAAGGCAGGGGGAAAGGGAGGGAAATTCAAATGGCTAACTGTAGGTGGTGATGAGGCTGCTTTTTTGTAGCTCTTTCACCCCAGCAGTTAGAGAATGTGTGATCTGAGGAGGCTGCCTGCTAAGGTAAGGTGCTGCTTTATACTTTTAAAAACTGTTCTGTGTATTTTTGCAGCGTGGTTTTTGGCTGGGGGGGTTATGTTTCTGTGCTGTGATGGGTCTTGGAGGGTTTGTTTTATGTTCCCCACATTTACAATGGCGGGGTTTGGTTGCTTTTTGGAATGTTTTTTCCCATTTCTGATGGGTCTTGGGGGGGTTGTTCTTTTTTTTTCAGCCCCATTTCCAATGGGTCTTGGGGGGTTGGTTGCTTTTTGAGGTTTTTTCCCCATTTTTTGATGTGTCTTGCATGCTTCCCTTGCTTTTTGCTTTGTTCTCTTTGCATTTTTGATCTGCTCCATTTGTTTTCTGTACAGGGTTTTTGCAGCTTGGGTTTGGGCTAGGGTGGCTTATGTATTCTCGAAGGCTTTCATGGCCAGGATCTGATGGTTGTTGTGAGTTTTTTGGGCTCTTTGACCATGTTCTGAAGGTTATTCTTCCTGACGTTTCACCAGTCTCTGTGGCCAGCATCTTCAGAGGACTGGAGTAGGAACTCAGTCCATGCTCAGAGCATGGATTAACTGGTTTTGCATTAGTTCCTATGGGAACTAATGCTTCGACTTACAACCGGCGCCTCTACATACAAACAAAAAGCAGCCGGAATGGATCAATTGAATTTCAGTGTATTTCAATGGGAAATGCTGATTCGACTTACAAACATTTCGGCTTGCGAACATCTTCTGGGATGAATTAAGTTCATAAATTGAGGCACCACTGTATTCAGAAAAACTAGAATGCAAAGATATTAACCTCTTTGTTCAGTGGACCTCTTACTAGTTCTGAACCCCAGAGACTGCTCAATTCTCTTGTCTACATTTCTTTGCCATGATGATGAGTGAGCATCACTTCTAGGTAGCCATGTGTTGCTTCTTGGTCTTCTTCTGTTTTGCTCCAGAAATTAATCATTGGGATCACTGATGAAGCTCGTTCCTCTCCATTTCCACCTAACAGTTTCTATGTTTGTATCCCTTTTGGTTAGATTTAATTAAGGCAAGGGGAAGTCAAGCTGAATTCCTTTGAGAAATTATAATTATAAGTCTGTCTTGAAAGAAAAAAGGTGTAAAAGGCTGAAGATTCTTTCTTCTGCTTCCAGAATCTGAAGAAACTGCAGTTCCTTCGTCTGTCTGATAACAAATTGGATTATATCCCAGTGCCTCTACCATAGGGACTGAGATCTTTACAACTACAGGTGAGATGATGACACTGACCCTTAAAAAAACTAGGATGGAAAATCTACAGCAAGAAGACAGACTTTTAAGAGAATCAGTTTTTTGTTTGTTTGTTTGTTTGTTTTCAAGATTTTTTTAGCTGCACCATTACCAGTTGTCTCTGAGCAGCGTACAACAATATTAAAACTTTACAAAAAATAAAACCATTAAGAATGGGCAATATTATAATAATATCCTATATTTAAAAAAATCATTAAAACATTAGTATTAATAAATCCTGCTACTTCAGTAGGTTCAGTGCCAGTCCCCTACCCCCCCCTCCCCCGGAATCATCTGGGGCTGTATGGAACACCAAAAATGTAGTAAGAAGGATTAGAAATAGCTGGAAAATTGGTTTTGAAAAATGAGTATGGTGTATGTTTGTGTTAAACACTGTGACCTACTTAAAAGGTGAATCACAGAAAGGGGAAACATTATTTTGAAGTTGGAATCTAATGGGACCACAGGGTGCAAAACAGACCAGGGGTGTACTTTGACCATCTTTACTATAATTATTCTTGGTTTGGATCTACTCTTGTTCTCTTCATGTCCAATGTATCCGCGAAGCTGGAGTTCCTTCTGTGTGAAAGGCTAAATACAAATCTAATACATAAGTTGATCTCTGCTTGTTGCTAATAAGCCTAAGAGAATGTATCTCCTCAGCTGAAACCAGGTTGCATTTACTCAAATCCTGAGCATTCTGCAGTCCAAGGAATTGCCTATTCATGTTGACCTGATATGGATGAAGGTTCTTCCCAGTTTTCTGTAGACCACCCAGGGTCAGATGGTTCCTTCTGATCCTATGGTGGTCTTCTTGCATGTTGATTCAGTCTGGGGCAAACACAAATAAATTCTAAACACTTTATGTGTCTCCTCTGTAGCAATACCAAATTTAGGAATTGAGAAAACAGAATTGATAAATATTGCACTATTTGGACTACAACTTCCAGAATTCCACAACCTCCGTGAACACGCCCACACTGGTTATGTGATTTTGGGGGTTATAGTTTTAAAAATTAAACATTTTCTGTTTCAGGGGTAGCCTCATGTATCTGTCACAATATTGTCGCTAAACTCTGTTCCAGCCTCTTCCTGTCATTTAAGATGTGCTGTAAAAGGAGTTGTCAATCAATGTTGTCAGTAATTCTGACCCTTTGGAGCTTCTGGTAAACAGTTTACCTTCGGTTATGTTGGAGGAGATCAGGAAGTATGGGGTGTCTGACCAGAACTCGGGGACCCATTCTGTCCCGATGTCTCTACCAATCTGTTCACGTGCTCCTTTGAGATGAATTAGATGTGATGATACCACATAAAAGTAAAGGTGGGAAGGTCCAGTGTGTATAGTAAAAGGAGTGTGTGAGGAGTGGAGAACCTGTTCTCTGACCCCTAGAGACTTTGCCCCCCCCCACGCACACACACACACTGATTCAGGAAATGAGCCTTTCTTGGGAGGGCCAAAAAAAAAGAACTTAAGGAGAAGAGCACCCATAGCTTCTATGTACCTAATCCTCAATTCCCTTGGCTTCTTATGTGAAACCATGCAACCCCCTTGCTTTCCAAGTGACGGCGGCAGATTCAGATTTGGTTGCAAAGTTCTGTCCCTGGGACACTTTGTTTAGCCCTTTGAACAGAACAAACTTTATTGTTTAAAACTATAGGTCACCACAATATCAACAGCGACACAAAACTGCACTGACCCCATATATCTATACATAAAATCAAGATGACAGGGACCCATTCTTTCTGAAGACTTCTGATGCTTGGCACATATCTTCTTTGCTGCCAAAGCAAACTTTTGCTACTTGGTAGGTAGTATTTGCATCCCTACCCACAAGCAGCATGCAAAGTTGAGCCAAGGGGAGTCCATCACAGCAATAAGTTGGCTTCTGGGGAGCTCATATAAAGAGCAACTTAATAAATAATGGAAACTATCCTCAGCCTTTCCTGATCCACAGATACGGAGTCTTTGATGAAATAGGGCACTAGCATATCTCCCCTCTAAAATGGCTAATGGCGTACACTGAAAACGCAAAGCTGTGAATGCTCTTCTTAAAGGGGCTAAGGTTAGACAAACAAAATAATTCACCAAACCAAATGATGTTTTGTACAGAAGGAACCAACGAGAATAGGACTTTTGTGAGATGGCACGCACATCCGGCCACTTAGAATGCAGAGTGTTTGGCCCTCTGAGATTCTCTTCTTCCTTCTGTTTCCCTCCCTAGAACAATAACATCCGGACCATGCATGCAGACACATTCTGTGACCACAGAGACCCCAGCCACATCCGCAGGGCCCTGGAGGACATTCGCTTAGATGGCAACCCCATCAACCTGAGCCTCTTCCCTGGTGCTTATTTCTGCTTGCCTCGCCTGCCAACAGGCCACTTCTACTGAACCAAAGCAACCCTCTGCCTCCAGCTGGCATAGCAAGCCTAGGAGGCCACTATGCAATCAAAATCAAGAATAGCTTTCCAGAGAGCATGGTCCCTGCATTAATTAATTTCACCACCAGCTGGGTATTGATGCTGTTGGACTGTTTTCCTAGCTTCCCCCCTCACTTAGGCTCTTTGAGGGAGGAGTGCCTGGGACTTGACTGGATAAGCATGGTCATTTTGCATTGTTCCTCTGTTGGAGAGAAGAACTGACAAATCTAAAGGTAGCACTAATTAAAAATAATGTCAGATTCACCGTGTGCATCTTTCTTTCCTTTTTTAAAAGCATAAAGTGTGGTGGACAGAATTTTGCTAAAAAAAAGGTTACGAATTAGTGAAGGGCCCTTTTTAAGGATCCATGCTACAATTTTCTTTCACAAAATCACAGTTCCTTATAGTTTCCTTCTGGGAGCCTTGCATGCATGCGCACATCCCACAGATTCCCATGTAACATACAACCTACTCAGAGCTTGGAAATGTTACCTTTTGAACTACAATTCCCAGAATCCCCAGACAGCATGATTTGTGGGTTTTTTAAAAATCAAAATGCTACAAACCACTGATTTGTGATACAAAACATGCACAATCTCCTCATGCTCACCCGAGTGCAGCTTCAGCACCTGCCACAGAGCACAGGGCAGAAGAATGCTTCACCCATATGCTATTGCTTCCCCACTATTTATTGAAATCACCCCTCCATTTATAGAAGTAACTTGAAAAGTACAATTATAGCACAAAGCAAATGAAGATTCCCCTCCTTAGGTTACATTTGTAATGCACCCTTAATTATATGCCTTATTTACTGTAGAAAAAAATTCATTACAAAAAAACTAGTTAGTCTCAGACTCTCTGTCTGACTATAAACAGAGCTATACAAGCTCAAGAAAGATCAGGGATGGATAAATTTGTAGGTTTTACTCTCTTTTTTGTCATTCGCTTTCTTTGAAATCTCGAGTTCTTTCTGATGAGCTTACAGTATTTTTGTTTTTTTTAAAATTAACTGAATAAAATTCTTAGTCAACTACACTAGCCAAATCCAGCAGGTACAGCTATTCATAGAATGATGTGGATCATGCTGTACTTTCCTTCTCTTTAGCTATTAAAATGGGAAGCCTGGCAGGAAAGAGAGTTGGCAACCCTGATTTAGTGCCGTAAACATAGTTGAATATATAGAGATTTAAAGTCAAGCTGCCAAGAGTTTCTGAAGTACTACACCTGGAGTCCTTAAGGTCCTACACCCTAAATTCTTGCATCTGTTAATTTTGTTTTCTCCTGTAGTAGGACTTTTTTAGAATCTGAAATCCTTTCCTTCCATATTTTGAAGAAATTTGTGAATTTTGGGAAATGTGTGTGGTTGAAGAAGATCTGCCTTATAGCATTATGACCAAGATGACCTACTTCTGCTTCAGGAGAAGCTACTTTAAGAACTGGCCTAAGAGATTTGCAGATAACCTCTCTTCTTAGTAATTACTTTGTTAAGAAAGCAACAGTGCAAATACAAACTCAATACAAACACAAAGGTCATGCGTTTGGAAAGGACAACATGGGCAGTAGTCTCCTGTGCAAGGATACAGCTCCTTTTGCTGGCTGAGAGCCAAAAAAGGGACATAGAAGAAGAGAAGGGGTGGAGTTCTGCCAGATCCAAACCCCTTTCAGCTAGAGCCACTGTGTTGCCACAAGATAAAGACAGGGTCAAGGTAATTCTCTGTAATTTACAACAGCCTCAGGTTGGTAGGGATTTGGAGTCAGCAAAACGTCAGCCATCTTAGGTCGTGACTACACAACCTAAGGATGTGTGAATTCCCTTGCATTTACTTGTTGTGAAGTCACACCAGGGAACTGGGTTTCCCTGCGTCTGTTTACATTAACTGGACACACATACACAGAGGAAGAAATCCTTGTTTGCAGCTTGTTTACAACTCCATTGTGGCTCTGTAGGAGGCACTGTTCTTTGCTGTTCCTAAATTGTTTTTTTTTTAAAAGAAAGAAAAACCTTGCCAATGGAGAGAGACTTGCTCACTGTTCCTAAGCTGTTTAAAATAAAAAGAAATGTCTTGCTGATGGAGAGACTTTTTTCATGCTGGCGTGGTAGCATTTTGCCATCCATTCACCATCAGTTCAAGTGATCACACTACAGGAACTGATGTGAATGTATCCACTTTTTTTGAAAAGCAGAAGTCCCAGAGGCAGAAGCAAAAATGCAGATGAGGGAGAAGAGGTCTGGCCTGATTTGTATTTCCTTTTATGTCATGTGGTCAAAGGGGGAAAAAAGTGAATTGGCCTGTTCCAGTCTTGGAGAATTCCCCACATTTTTTTTACCAGTGTAGTCTCATCCTTGGTATCAAATCAGCCAGCCCTCAGCCATCCTGGCTAGTTAGGAACGTGCTGTAAGTTTCGAGGTGATACCCAACCACATGCTTGTTTTTTTCTTTAGGAACAATAATTCATCAAAAGAAATTTGATTCAGTAAGGCAAGTGCCTAAGGAAACATCAAGTCCAGATCTGGATTCAGCTCTAACATTCTGCTAAATTCCATGAGATAGAAATTATGTAGATAAGAACATTGTGCCTTTACTTAAACACTGCAGCCTGGAGGAAGCCATGGAATAAAGGGGAGAATCTAGCTTGTTCTCCCTTTTTCTGTTGCAGCATGTCTGCTCCGCAACCTTCCACCCACATCTGAAAATCCAGAAGATCTTCTTGAGATTCGCACAAAAGACTCTCATGCACAAATATACTCCTTGCATATAACACAGTGGTACAGGGGACACAGGCATTTTTCCCCATGACCTTGGAAGTCCCGGAAGAAGACATGGGGCAGCAGGGACTACATAAATCCATTCTAAATGGACTCATAATCTGTAGCAGCCAAATCTCCTTAGTGAAACTTCTACTTAACTGTCCTGTTCTGGCTGTGGAGAAAGGAAAGTTAAGGACCAAATTGGGGAGAAACATTAAGGTGGAGATTATAGAATGACTGTTTTTTATTCTGTAATGGGTATGGATTTTCAGGGGTCAGATCTTGCTGTAAATCCTTAGTTGACTGGGTTTTGTTTGTTTCTCCTTCCTCCTCAAGAAATGCATAACGGTAGCAAATCCTTCCAAGCTTTTCTTATATGTTTCTAATCTCCAAAGAATTGTGGCTAATGGCATATTTTAGCATCATTTGAATATTGTGTGCCTTTATTTATTTATTTGTGCACACTATGGATTCTTCCATATTTGGAGACTATGATGAAGAGAGTAGATGAAGAGAATTGCATGCTCAATGCAAAATAGATTTTGATTATTAGTGCCTTGATAGTATCAGGATTTGCTTTTCTTCCTTGAGCCACTAGATGGAGCAAAAGAATGTTATCAGAACTCTCATCTACCTCTGTAAACTGCTTTCCTAATCTCCCCTGTTGGAGTTTTATCTCCCTTCTGCTGCTGTTTTAACATTTAAACTGATTATCTAAATCAATGAGATTCGTGAGCTCATGCCCTTGAATTAACAGCATCGTCTATATCTGACTTGCTGGTTGCTGGGAAACCTGTTCTCTGAATGACGCCTCTGCCACAGGAATGAGGAAGCAGAAGAGGATAAGACTGGGATCAAAAGAAGTACAGTATGGTGTAAATCAGTGACAAAGTAGCATTGCTCCATGTCTCCTTAGCAAAACATCCATTTGATTTCTTTACTGGGGCAAGTTGTATTCAGTGGTATACTGGGGTCGATGGTGGGGCAACCAGGAATCATGGAGTGAGATGGCATAAACACCTGCTCTGCTATAGATGCTGGGTCAGCCAGATATGAGGCAGATTGGGATTGCTGCTTTAGGCAAAAGATTTGGGGTAAGGCATTAAATCACTCCCCCATAGCCTGCCTGGAACCAGCTTTAAACACATCTTTAAAAGATTGTGCCTGTCAAACTTTCCCTGTCTTTTTGGGAAATTCGTTTATAATTTTTCTGCACTAGTCACAAGTTACTGGGGTGTGCCTGAAGAAGTGGCATTTTTATTCCATGAGAGCTTGCATTAATTGTCTGATTTGTAGCAGTCTGATAAAGGCGTCACATTCTTCCAGATTGGGAGTTGTTAATGGTAGCAACAGTTTATTGGGGGAGGCCTATGATGGATGTTGGGTCTTTCGCATGAACTACTGTGTATCTTGACTTGGGTGGTAGTGGTGAGACATGTTGAGTTTCCTCAGGCAGCAAAATAGTTTGGACTGGCCCAGAGCTGACAATGAATTGAGTGATTGTCAACAGGGAAAGGTAGCTTGTATTCCTGTGCACACAGTGTCAAATAATCTACTTTCCATGTTATTGTGCAAAAGGCAGGCAGACTCTAAGGGCAGGGACCCTTTAGTTGTTGTCGTTCTCACACCTGAACTCAGTGGGGTACACTGGGGAGGAAGAAGGAGGACTTATCATAGTGAATCAGTCTGCACTGTTGTGGGAAGACATGCACATGGCCTGCACTCCAACTGATAAGGTTCAGGGGAGGGGGTCTAATCTGTAAGGGTGGTGGCCTACCTTCCTTTTCTGGACTACACCTCTGAGAATCCCCCAGGCAGGGTTTCAACTGGAGACTGCTTTAAACATGGCCATGCTCACCAGGAGATTTTTGGAATTTCAGTCCAAACATTTACTTTTCCAGGCTCCTGCTTGGTTGTGCAGTAGCGGCTCTTCCGGTGGGAAGAGAGAGGAGCATCAGCCTGCTTGGCAGGAGCTGCCGTAGGGGCATCGGGACAATCAGAGAGCACCTCTCCCAGCTGCCCACTATCCTCCTTGGCTCCAGGTCAAGGGTTATTGGAGTTCCCATCTCCCAATTTGTCACTCAAGTTCTTTGCCTGTTGCTCTTACAGTTAGGCGATGCTATAATGTCAGAGATCAGAAAATTTTTTGAACTGAAGTGCTCAGTGGCCATAAAGTGGGAGATGCTTGGAGCTGTATACTGAAAAGTTAACATTTCCTACTCAGTGGCTGAAATCCTGTTGTGTAGGTATGCAAAAGGCATAACTTTCATCTACAAATTAAGAAATCTCCGTAGGCATTATTTGTTGCACAACAAGTCATGTGGAATTGCACAGCAGGATTTCAACCAATATATATATACAGTGGTGCCTCGCATAGCAAGGTTAATACGTTCCAGATTAACCTTCGCTATAGAGAAACATCGC